TAGACTAGCTGCTAACTGACTCTATCTCTTTTAGACACAATTTCGGAAAAATTGAATTTGAAAATGAATAATGATCCACAAAAATCCACAACAAAAAGTGGGACCACCATTGACGTGGTATTTTCCAGATATTTAGAGGATATCAAGTCTCAAACTTATGTTTTTTATTTCAGTTACCATAATCCTATAGTTTCAATGATAAAAATTCCTGAATAACCTACATGTATTGTAAGATAATAAAAATATTTTAAACTTCTCATTTATTCAATAAAAGAGAAAAAAAAATGTTTTCTTATCTGTCACCACGCTCAAAAAGTGTAACTTGAATTAATATCAAAGAAAAAAAAAACTGCATAAATAAAATAAATAAATAATTATAATTGCATAAGTTGATAAAAAATGCCATGCAATAGCTTTACCGCGGCAGTCCCCGAGTGCCACAAGTATTTTTTTTTAAATTAAACAATTAAAAACAACTTTTTGTTTCTTGATTTTTTGTCGTATATGGCATAATTTCTGTATGAGTTACCAACTAGTCGGTCGAGCTGAAAGAAAGGTCCTATGAGATGGTCGTCAAGTATACCACCCCACATATTCAGGGAGAACTGTTCTTGGAAATGTGTTTCTACTATGCCATGTGGATTCTCGTCAGCCCATAAGTGGTTGTTGTGAAAATTTATGATTGCATCCCTTGAGAAGTTTGCCTCAGCGAACAGGATTTCACGATCAAAATTAGGATTTACCAACAGCCTTTGAAGATACCCTTGACAAAAAATTATTCTCAACGGGAAATCGCGTGGAAGCAGTGCCTGAACCCTTTGAATGTGGTACGGATACAATAGAGAATCATGTAAACTACGCCAAACAGTTTGGTGGCTAATATTTAGGGTTCTGGAAATTTGCCTGGTGTTGGTTTCTGGATGATTTTCTATTTCTGCTATAATCGCTTCTTCTATTTGTAATGTTCTAACAATTCGAGGCCTGCCGCCACCGTTGGTATTCTTTTCAAAGGTACCAGATTCTGCAAGGTGACAGTGAATAGCCGAGAATGCTCGGCGGTCAGGTAGACGCGATTTGGATATCTTTTTGTTGTGTTAGGTAGATGGACAACACTAATAATTGAAATACACATATAAACTTCTTTATTAGTTCACATAAGTCCATGAGAACGTTTAGTAGAACATACCACATGCCGGTAACACAGTGTTGCCAACTTTTTGGATACGTAAATCCGTAGGAAGGGTTCGAAAAATCCGTAGAAATCCGTAGATTTTTCTTTGCTACAGAATGATTGATTAAAATATTTTTAAAATAAAATAAAGATGTTTGTCTTGTCGACTTTACATAAAACTAAAATTTATGTATTTGCAATAAAACAATAATACATATATTAGGTACTTATTGGCTTATAATTTATTGTAAACAAAAATATATGGACATTGCCCATAAAAGGAACAGAAGAAGAACAAAAATATATAACTTAAAAAAACTAAAAAATAAAATAACCTAAATTCTGATAATAGAACTAAAATCTGAAAATAAAACACAAAATACTTTGGATAAACCTAAAAATAACCAACATCAAGTCCTATAGTTATCTTCTTCTGAAGAAGAAAGTGTAAAAGGTTGATTTTCTGAACGCTGATGTCGATATAAATTAGAAGAAAATTTTACTTATCGTTAGTATAATTTTCTTGGTTGTAGGAAATAATATTTATGTAATAATTTTAATTACCTTTTATCAATAAAAGTATGTTTTAAAATTTTTACTGAGCATGTTTGTGTTTATTTGTAAAAATCCGTAGATTTGGATTCTATATCCGTATATCCGAGAACAGAGTTAAAATTTCGTAGATCTACGGAAAAATCCGTAGGGTTGGCAACACTGCGGTAACAAAGAGTTAGGTTAGGACCCTGTGTCTCTAGCCACGATGCCGGATCGCAGTGGCTAAGGTTACACAACACTTTTTAAATAAAGAAGCCTGGCTTTAACTGTATTTCCATTTGCAAGGCCATAGATAAAGTGCGTATCAGCCATTTCCGAATTTGTAAAATTATTCTTAGTTCAGGATCAGGCGCGGATACAAGGGGGGTAATAGGGTAATTACCCCCCCCCCCCCCCCCCGAGCCGCTCGAACAAATCCAGGAATTTATTAAATTGTAATCTAAAAACAACGAGATTTTACAAGAAAGCAAAAAAAAAACAAGATGACGGTGACGAATGAAGAATAGAGAAGCACAGGCTGGCGTACAGTATTTTTTGATATTTTTTAAATAAACGAATGAGTATTTGATAAAATTTCCTCCACCCTCCCCCCTCCCCTGAAAAATCTTCTCAGATCCGCGCCTGTTCAGGATAAATAAACTTTTGTTTAATTGAACGGTTAGTCTTGAATTTGAAGCTTTTACTTTGAACAACGCAACTCGCAAAAAGTTTTTCACTCAGCTCAAAAATATTTAAATGACAGTAACAATCTAATATTAATCTGATTTCATGGAAATGTTATAATTTGTTTGTGAGGCCCACTTGACATTTTAAGATTTTGTGCAAGCTCTGACCTCCCATTCTCGAATATATGATGAGAAATATGAAGCGAACGTTTAACAAAAATTACTTTTTTATTGAGAGTATCGGCATAAGTTATGTTAGCAAATTTTCAAAAATTTTTAAGTCATATTTTTTGGATCGAAGACCCATTATACACGAAAAATAGAAAGAGTTTAAGAGACAATAAAAGATGTGTTTTTGAATGGCGAATTTTAAAAAGAAAAGAAATATGAAAAAGTCAGTGGCGTACTTTTTTTTTCAAAAATATCAATTAAGTTGCCTTTGGGGACGCCATTGGAATTAATAATTCTGATATAACTAGGTCAAAAATAGTCTCTTTCTACAATAAATGAATCTACCAAGTTTTATCAAAATCGGTCGACGAGTGTTTAAATTTTAATATTTTCCTTGAAGTTGAGGACTACCTAAATTGATCTTGAATTGTAAATATTTCCAGCTGTAGGAATTACATTTTTGTTGATTAAAAGACTAGAAAATTTAAGACAAGAATTAAAATAAATTGGTATTTTTAAAAAATTTGGGAAGAAAACCAAAGATTTTATTTTAGAACAAATAATTCTAAACATTTTATTTTAGAAATTCTCCGTCACTGATTTATGATGTTATATTGGGGTTTTTCTCCTGGGTCATAAACATTAATTTTCAAATAAACTTTACTTTCTGCAAATTAAGTAACTGCTTTCCTTTCTTCTCTCGACTGTTTATATTATAACAATAAAAGGTTACTTAAGGTTGCCTAATAAATGTAGAAATAATTTTGAACGCACCTGTATATCATTTTTAGCAGAGTTGGGTGACAGACCACTTTGTTTATTATCATGATACTATACAAAGGAAGTGTGATATTACCACAGATCAGTGGATATTACGCAGATCATGGAGGTAGAAGGTAAACTCCATGACGCAGATTGATACTATTCGTCATGATGTGACGTATGGTGGTGGAAGGCGTCGCGTCGCTTTTATATATTTTAATCGGCTCACGGCCAATCATATTTCCCACCACAAAACCTCATGCGTCGCCTAACATTTATATCATGGTTCATAATCATGGTTCATAATACAGTTCATCAAATTTCTAGAGGTGTTCGACGCCCAGACAGAGAACGCGCTACGTGTGACTAAGATAGCTATTGTACAGTCTGCTAAACAAGTTATTTTAAATAGGTTTTAATATTTTTAGGTAATTAAATTTTAAAAGTGTGGAATAGTTTAGGGATTAAATTGGTCTGATTGGACTTTCTTAGAACGTTTTTAAAAGCAGCTAAAGATAGTATGTAGAATTGAAAATAATTATTATGCCATAAAAGGTGTTTTGGAATTCCTTCAACCTTTTGAAATTGAGTCAGAAAATATAAATTTTATAGGATAGCGGAAAATACCTATAATTTTTTTGTAGGCCTTTGTAAATCGTGGAAATAGTTTATATTTTATTTCTACCTTATTAAGGAAAATGGTACCTATTATTAATAACGGTTGTTTCTGAAACATTACTAAAATTTTCGAAATTTTGTTTTTCTACAAAATAATAAACTATACTATTTAGAAAAAAATTTATTTCTCTTATAATTTTATAAAAAATAACAGGGGAATATTTACATTTCTTGATCTATTAAACAAAACGATAAATTATCTCGACGAATGACACCATGTTCTAGTACGGAAGCTAGCTTTACATTTTTGTTGGTGGTTTCATGGGTTTCATATCAATTTTTTGTAATTGTAGTTTACACGTACATATACCTCTTAACACTTGTTTGCTTTATTAAAAAAGTGTGTTGTTGTGATTTACGTCGAAATAAGTCAAAAACAACTTGAAACCCCATATTAAATCAAAAAGGAGAAACGGAAAAAAATTGCCTGTAAATCAACACAACTCAGAAACAAAAATAGCTATCTAATAATAAAAAAATAAAATTTGATTCTTGTGCAGCTTCATCTATATCATTAACTGTTTTTGGTTTTTTAATGGTTTTTCTTGGTGATGAAAATTCCGATATCTCACGGTTATCGATTCTTTTTTTCTCTCCAGAAATGCGGACGACAGTGTTTTTAGATACTCCTGTGGCTGCAGCAACACGATCATTTACATTTTTAAATGGTATTGAAGGTGAATTAAAGTTTCCTTCTCTTCTCATAAACTCTATAACATTGGCTATTATTTCGCGAGATTGACTGTTAATCACGCGGCCTCTTAATTTGCTATTAAACTCCATACTTAGGTTCTATTAAACTGTAATGAGCAAAAAACACAAAGGAAAATAAAAGAAATGTTTTAGCGAAATATACATCTGACGTCTGAATGAAATAGTGAAATACTTGATGCGCAGAGTGTACTTTCATTGCGTAAATCCGTCGGGATGCCTGTCAGTAGTGCTTTCTCTGTCTAGCCGTCGAAAGCCTCTAGAAATTTGATGAACTGTAGTATTATCAATTTTGGTGTAAGGATAAAAAAAAGTAACATCTAGGTGTCTAAATAATGCCAATTTGACAAGTAACCTAATTTCCAAAACGTTATTTGCAATGTTTTTCATATATACATATTTTTTTTTAATTATTAGTTAATTAACAAAATTATGATGGCTTTCAGACCGTTTTCCATAATGAACGAAAGGAGGGGTACAAAGGGCTTGGAGCTGTGGTGCCGCAAGATGACAGAGGGGTATCCGGGAGTAAAAATCGACAACATGACTACATCTTGGAGGGATGGATTAGCATTCTGTGCCATTATACACCATTTCAGACCTGATCTCATGTAAGTACCTATTAATTTTTTATACCGTACTAACCTAACCTGAAACAGTGTTGTGTAAATGTGTAGAACCACGTAAATATCTCTGAAGGTAATGGATATAACGTAATGACATTTTACACGTAACAATTAGGAGCACTTAATGGGCGGTAATCGGAAGTCAATTTGAAATATACAGGATATTATAAAAAATTGTAGCCGCACTAAGGTTTTTTATATATATTTTTTATTTTTGCTGTTTGTCCATCAATGTATATGTACGTGTTCAATAACAATTTTTGTAGCTACAGGGCGATTCATGATCTTAGGGCAATTGTTAAGTAGATGAAATTTATTTTAAGAGAGTTCTATACCCATCAGCTCCGTCAATTTCATACATAACCTCAAAATCCTCGTCCCTTACGTCTTCGCCATAACCCCCCCCCCTTTTAAAGAAATTGTTAGGCAGCCTGAAATACATTTCTGTGCATTTGTGGTTGCATAGTCTACCAATTCTCGTATAAGAACCTCTAGACGTACCATTTTCGGCCGTTGATGACTAACAAAATTAGATTTCTATATATAATCGGTTTTTATTTAATAAGTTTAACACGGTTTCTAGTTTTTTGAGCTTATTTTAATTATAATTACTTTTTATGAACACTTTATTTTATAGCCTTCACACATTCATAAATAGAAAAGCGTATAAATGTATGTAGGTAAATATATTATTTGTTTTAGTTTTTATTTTGGAAATTTAAGAGATACTGTATTGAACAGTCTTCGTCCAATGATAACCTAATTATGCGGCCTCAAACGCTCAATATATATAATTGTACAAGTTTAAGACAACACAAAACGTGACGTAATCCAACCAATCTTTTGCTGTTTTTTTTATTAGTACTCGACCCATAATAAAAACCACTTCTTTGTCGATTTATTAAAGTCACAGTGATTATTCTCACACAATTAGATATTCCAAAGACCTGTCATACAATAGTTGTCAGTTGGAAGGGCTCATAAATCTAAGGGGATTGCGACATAGCCTTTAATCTTGGACGCTATTTCTATTTGAAATAGTAATCGCCAAGCCTGCCAATTTATAGAAAATGCATAAACGGTTTCTATAAAAATAATATTTTCATTGTGCTTGACATAAAATATTTAAATTTAATTCATTAATTTTGATTTCACGTATTGTAAATAGACTACATCGTATGTCGCAACCCTTTAGAGATTCCAAACCTTAGAACCGCGCTTCATTTGTTTGTAATGCCTAATTTACTAATAAACATGTATTTGTTATTTGATTCGCATTCGCAATGACATTGACAACCACAGACAGATCACTTATTTTGATGACAACACATAAAATTACAACGTTGCCAAGGGTGGCATTCTTTCCTTTTATTTGCACATTACAGAATAGACAATTATTTGTTTATAAATGCGGTTTTAAACTTGGGTTTCATAATGAGCTCAAAGCCTTTTATAAAACGCCATTAGCGCCCTTGATTTTTGCTATAGGAATGTCTTTTTCTCCACTATTTAAGCAAAATCGGTACCTATTAATTTTTTCCGACTGTAAAGATTTTCGGAGCTGAACTTAGGATAATTTTTTTAGAAAGTGTGTTATGTTATAATTTCAGACCAAAATCAACAAGCTCGTTTCATAATTTCGCGCTCGGATTTTGTATTTATTCTGTAACACTACCTATTTTATAGCAATTTTATGCCCACCCTATTTATTTTTCTGTGAATTTTGTTTTATTTCGTAATAGAAACAACTTTCATTAGGAATAAATTTTTTGTAGAAATGTATTTTAAAAACGGACTATTTCCAACGCTACTATGAGCTTTGTCTGTGGATTCACAAACTATCTGTAGAGACGGCAACACCGAACCTAAAAGCTCGAACTGAATTCAAAATTCGCCAAATATACACAATATTTATTGTTTGCCCACAATACACATACTAGCCACTAACGATATACTGACTTTCGATTCAATTTTCGTCCAAACCGCGCAGTGACGTAATTCGGGACGAACTTTCAAGTTATTTTGACACTTTTTGATTGAATAGTGTAAAATAATTTAATAATTTATTTGTTTTTGTGTTAGTAGTGACTATATTTTCTTATATATAATAGGGAAGAACTGAATTAATATTTAAATGGCCGGGCTGCGCGGTGGAGACTTGCAAAATCCATAATGCGAAATTCAAAAAAATAGTGTAATGTAAGATATTTTCGAATGCCACAAAATGTGGATAAATTCTTATCATAGAAAGGACAAACTTAATTTAAACAATAATGGTTAGTAAAATGCACAAGTGTAATAGGTTTAGAGACAGTGAAAAGTTGCTAAAATATTATTTTAGCATGAAGTTGCCCTATTTACTTTGAGGAAAGTAGTAAACATAAACGCAAGAGAAGAAAACTGAATTCCACCAGGTGCATGGGGCTTTATTAAGCAAAGAAAATAGGTATTTTAAAATTTTAGCAGATAAAGCAGTAGTTTCCTGTCCCAATACAACGGTCCCTTTTCAAGAAATACTATGCAAGAGCAGGACAGGAACATATATAAGAATAAGATACATGAATAGAAAAAGTAGTTTTGAATATTTTCAAAGTAAACTTGGCAAAAAAATGTTTAAATTTACCAAATAAAAAATTATTTTTTGTGTACTTGCTTTTTATAAAAAAATAATTTGTTTCTGCGTACTAAGAAAATAAATTTAAAAGGAACTACCACTCCCAGAAAGTACAAATTTCAGTCAAACTTATATTTTTAGTCCATATTTTTTATTTATCTTATCCAGGTTATGGATTTTGTCACAACGTACGTAAAATTTATGAAAAAAATTAATATTTTTATTAGTATTATTTACCTTAAACCTTCATATTTGTAAACGAATATATTACTAAATAACCAATAAAGCTTAAGTAACTGCATAAAATCTAAAACCGGCGATATATCGAATTTCAAACACTATTTCCCATTTAATACTAACAATTCTGTCCCACGTGACGTCACCGTCAGTCAGCTGCATGCGCAGGAACACACCGTTATTCTGTGTATCGTGTTGTTTGCAATTTTATACATCGATCGGAAAGCAACTCTGCAATATTTATTGGTTTAGGCAACTGAACATACTTTTCGTGACTGGTGCGCCATCTGGCATAGAAAATATTGATTATCATGGTATCCAAACGTAAAAGAAGACCGTTGGGGGCAGCACCTCCCGGTGCCCTCTGAAATTTTTATGCAATGTTCAATTTTAGAAAAAACTACTTACTTTTTTCAAAAATGGTAAATACACAAGTTGTTCAGTGGCAAATGAAGAATGGCGGGTGATAACATTTATACGTATATGACTTGTTTTATATTTTTTTCATTTTATTTTTTTTTGTTTATAAAAAAAAGTTATCATGCGCCAATCTACGATGCATAAGAAGCACGGATACAAAAAAGATATTTTTTTTGGTGAGTATTAAGCCCGCAATTTGAACATTAACATTTCCAATATGGCGGACGGGTACAGAACCCTCTTAATAAAATCAACCAGTTTATCAAACTAATTAAACAATGGATATGTTGTGTAAGTAGATTAAATTCGAGTATGTCGTCTAGCTTGGTCTTCTTTATCAAACTTAGTAGCTCTGCATGCTTATGGTTTTTCTTCATCTAGTGTTGAAAAACACAATCTACACAGGCCTTCATACTGGCACAGGCATGGATTAATGTTTCCTCTGCTTCTTCACAGAACCGGCACAACGTTGCTTTTTCTTTTGGCTTGTCTCAATCCTGCTGTTCCACCATACCTGAGACTTTTTGCATCAATTGTTTGAAAGATGGCACCATGCCTTAGCAACTCCACAGGCCTATCATGTCCTTATGTGATCCTCGGGCTAGTTGCCTTTTGGGTTCAGGACTAAATGTATTTAAAAATCATGGCTTGTTTCTATATATCCTTAAATTGCCCTTTGATGGCGCCAGAAACTAAGGCAGCAGATATCAATACAGCTCTTAACTAAGGTTAAAGTCTTTATAGACCAAGTTAGGGTCTGGTTTGTCCTTACTTGGTAAGACACTCATCTTAATTCTTGGTTGAGAGGAAGATGTTGAACTGAAGCTAGGAACTACTAAGTGATGTTGCCCGTCTTTTATGCGATACTCATTGGCAGCACTTTGAATCTAGAAGAAATGTCACATTAGAATTTAAAAGTGACCTCACGGAAGTAATAGGGGAGGCTAAATTGAGTCTGAAGCAAATTTGCTAAATCTATGAAGCGTTCAGGTGAAGATGCCTAAATTAATGGTACCACGTAAGACGTTAAACTTCCAAAAGTTCCCCCGGACAAGAGAAGTATTCATGCCCAGGGGTACACCAAGAGAAACCTTGGAAAAATCCACAGAGACATCAACATCAACCCAAATAGAGCCATTCACACAACAGAGCTCGCCTTCGTAAGTGAATTCAAGTGTACTAGCAGGGAATCAGTAAATACTACCGTAAAACGGGGTTGTTTTGACAAGTTTTGACCTATTTTGGAACTATAAGTCAGAAACCGATTGTCTAGAATCTGACGCCACTTTCTTTAAACGGGGCAAATACTGCCACATCTAATGGTTGCATTAGGTGGGTGCTGTTGGGAGGCAACGCTGTCTTGTAGATAGTGTTCTCCTCAAAAGCTTCAATGACAGTGGGTGAAAAATGAGAGGCTAAATTGTCCCCAACAGGATTTTCAATTTCTTTAATTTTGGGCAATAAAATTTAGAAAAACCACTTTTCAAATTGGTCCATATCGAACCAGCCGCTAGGTGTGTTACTACAGACTGTTCCAGGAGAACCATCTTTTGTCCAACCTTTGTATACATTACCTGCCTTGTACACCACCATAAGGGGTAATAAATCTCCTGCAGCGTTTCAACACTCCATTATACTGATCGAGGCCTTGGAATTCTGTTGAACTCTCTCCACGCGTTTGGTTCCCCAATGACCTTTTTGGCTCCAGGGTCAT